GAATATCAGGATTGGAAGGGACCTCAGGAAGTCATCTAGTCCAACCCCCTGCTCAAAGCAGGACCAATCCCCAGACAGATTTTTGCCCCAGGTCCCTAAATGGCCCCCTCAAGGATTGAACTCACAACCCTGGGTTTAGCAGGCCAATGCTCAAACCACTGAGCTATCCCTCCCCCCACATGGGATCCTTCTGGCTACCTCAGATTTCTAGCAAGAGGGCTGGGGAGAAGGGAAAGCTATTGGACACCAGAGGTTGTACCGAGTGGACTCCTCAAAAGTGGGTGTGCTTGTCCTGGTTTGTTGCTCCAAAACTCTGTGTATAAGTTATTTTACTGGAAGAGTGTATATGGCATACATTGAGTAATAAGACTAATGTACTGTATAATGGCAATGGGTATGTGTTCATTGTTGGTAAAGGTGTATGAGTGAAGAGTGGAAGTTTCCTTTGTAGGGTAAAAGAAGCCAAGAAGGGGAGAAGGAAAAAACAGAATGAGTTAACTGGAAAAAAATAGCTATCAAGCTCAGTCCAAAGATAAGACGCTGGCCCCATTCAAGGACACTGCTACAGCTAAGATTTGGTTGACAGCCAAGAAAAGGGGGGCCTGAATGTGCCCAAGCAGCTGTAAAATCTGCAAAACACTGCCAGGCATTAATGAAATGTGTTAGGTTTCTTTTCTCACAGATAAAAGAAGTGCTACCCAAAGACCCTAGCAGCCCTGCCATTCATTGAAACCAGGAGACTGAGTCTATGTAAAGTCCATCAATGAAAGACTGCTTTGGCTCCATGCTGGAAAGGCCCTTTCCAAATCCTGTTAACCACCAACACTGCTGTGAAGTGCCATGGACTACCTGCCTGGACCCATGCTTCTCACTGTAAAAAGACCCCTCCACCTCGGGAGGACTCTCCGACTGATGATCAGCCTATTTCTCCTTCTAACTCTGCTGTGCCTTCTGGACAGCAGGGGAAAAAAGACAAGGTGAAGTGCTAGTAACCACTCCCTTGTCCACTGACAGACCTACTGTGCCTTTGGATTTTTCTAGAAGAAGCAAAACCATTACAGGGTGATGTTCTAGTAACCTCTCCCCGTATGATGCTGAACCACGACTGTTTCAGGACAATAGAAGAAGGAACACTCGCTCCATTGAAACCACCAAAGTCCAGGGATTCCTGACTACAAAAGACATTGAGAACTGACCCTGGTGAAGAAACAAAGAATTATACACTGGCAGGAAGAAACTTGCTTGGGAATGTGGTATTGATTGGATTTTGGGGTTTATTCTACAGGCTGTGCCCTGTGTTTTGAATATGTCCTTCAGCATGTATTGCCCTCCCTAATTGGATTTTGAATGACAAGTACCGAATGGTACCTTGTTGCCACTGCCCCTGCCATCTTCTCCATTACACTATTACCCCTGTAACACATCCAAATACAGACAATGCCATATATTTGATAAAACCAATGGCCAAGGCCTTCACACGTTAGTGATTTATTTAAATATCGTTTGAAAAAGAAATTATTTTTAAGGTTCAGGATATCCCATTTAAGTGAACAATTGAATGGAAAACGAATGGATCTTTGGAGATAAAAGTATATGATATCACTACTAGTGAACTCCAAGAATCTGTAATTGAAAATTGATGGGTTCTATAGTGAAGTAGATATGATGGCTGTTCCTGGAATTTGCACTGTGTTAAATGAGAGAGGCCCTTATTGTTATTTGGTCACCCAATTAGTGAATAATCAAACAAATACTCTTGGAGTTTGTTCTGCCACTGGAAATTTTACCTGCATAGAAATTATTCCAGTGACTAATAATGTTACCTGTACCTTATTGCAATACACCCCCTCTTATGTCATTAATATCAATGCCTCCCGGAAATATATAAAGGTGTTCAACCAACAAATGTGGTATAGTACTACACCAAAGACAGATGTATTAGGATATCGATGGACTGTGATTAACACTACACTAGGGAGTCCGCCCTTAGTTCTATGACCCAGAAGTTGCTGACAGAGATGGTATTGAATATCACTGAGGCTGGGAAGGCATTGCAGTGGGATCTAGCATGTTCAGAAATTCAGGATTTCCTGAATGACCAGCTAATGGCCATTCGGAATGATCTTGAGCATCAGGCTTTGCCCACTGCCCTTACAGACCCATCTGGAGTACCATCTGATCTGTGGCCATGGAG